TATATATATATATATTATGTATAATAATTGCATGTGTATATATATATATATATTATGTATAATAATTGCATGTGTATATATATATATATATATTATGTATAATAATTGCATGTGTATATATATATATATTATGTATAATAATTGCATGTGTATATATATATATATTATGTATAATAATTGCATGTGTATATATATATATATTATGTATAATAATTGCATGTGTATATATATATTATGTATAATAATTGTATGTGTATATATAGATATAGATATAGATATAGATATAGAAGAGTTAAAACTGGCAATTACCTCACTGGCTGATGGCAAAGCACCAGGAGTAGATGGAATACCCAAGCAAGATATGGAAGCACGGAGGAGCCACTCTAGCCAACAGTCTACTAATGCTAATTAAGCAAGCGTGGAAAAAAGGCACTGTGCCTCAGGAATGGAAAAATGCTAATATTGTGACCATTTACAAAAAGGGAGACCGGACTCTCTGTGGTAACTACAGAGGGATCTCACTACTATCGATTGCTGGGAAAGCATTCGCGAGAATACTCCTCAATAGACTAAATGCCCACATAACACCAGAAGTTGTGCCGGAGTCACAATGTGGATTCCGCAGCAACCGAAGCACTGTAGACATGATCTTCTGCCTCCGCCAACTGCAGGAAAAGTGTATAGAACACAACAGACCTCTCTATGTTGTCTTTGTCAATTTCACCAAAGCATTCGACACTGTTGGAAGGACTGGGTTATGGCAGCTCCTCAAGAAGTATGGATGCCCTGAGAAGTTCACAAAAATGATAAAGTCACTGCACACGGGTATGACTGCCAAGGTCAAAGAAGCTGGTGAGACATCTGACAGCTTTCCTGTAAGCAATGGAGTGAAACTAGGATGTGTGCTGGCTCCAACACTATTTTCGATCTTTCTCTCAGCAGTGTTGGAGGATGCCTTTGCTGACCTCGAGGAAGGTGTATACATATAATGTCGACAGGACGCAAACCTCTTCAATGTATCACACTTCAAAGCAAAGACAAAGACAACACAGATCCTCGCAAGAGAACTTCTCTTTGTGGATGACAGCGCACTAGTTGCTCATACACCAGAGCAAATGCAGCGGGTACTAGATGCATTTTCATCTGCATCAAAGAGATTTGGACTACAAATTAACATAAAGAAGACTGAAGTACTATTCCAACCCAGCTCAACACATATAGTTGAAGAGGATATCTTGGTGGATGGAACGGCTCTGAACAGAGTGGCTGACTTTACCTATCTTGGCAGCACTATATCAGATGATGCACATATAGACCAAGAGAGTACAAAATGAATGGCCAAGGCAAGCAGTGCTTTTGGGAGACTAAGAACCCGTCTCTGGAACAACCATCATGTCTCCATAAGAGTCAAATGCAAAATTTACAGGGCTATTGTAATATCGACCCTTCTATATGGTGCAGAAAGCTGGACACTTTATAGAAGCCAAGTCAAGAAGCTTCATACATTCATGATGAGACACCTACAACAGATCATGAGAAGTAATTGGCAAGACAGAGTGACCAACAAAGAGATTCTCCATCGAGCAGACCTGCCATCTATGGAGGACCTGCTCATCAGAAAGAACCTGCGATGGACTGGTCACATCATCAGGATGCCCACTGACAGGTTACCCAGACAATTACTCTTCTCACAGCTCCCAGTGGGTGAAAGAAAGATAGGTCGCCCACGACTCCGCTACAAGTATACTATCAAGCGGAACCTCAAAAAGAGGGAAATAAACATCAAGACATCAACACTAGCATACCAGCGAGCTAAATGGAGATCAGCTGTGAAGTAACCTATGAAGGCGGTCTTTGTCGCTTCGCGACCGACAGCTACTATATATATATATATGTGTGTGTGTGTGTGTGTGTGTGTGTATATATATGTATAATAATTGTATGTGTTTATATATATATATATATATATATATATATATATATATATATATATATATATATATATGTATATATACATAATTATATAGATATTTATTTATATATATACATAATTATATGTATAATTACATATATATATATATATATATATATATATATATATATATATATATATATATATATATATGAATCATTATTATGTACTTTTTGTGTGTGTGTGTGTTTGTGTGTTTGTTTTGTTTTGTTGTTGTGTGCTGTTTCTCTCGTTTATTATTTCATGACATTTTGTATTCCACTACGACTTATTTATCATTTCCAAATTTAAGCTGTTCCATATTTATATTTTTAGTAAGTTAACCCATTGCCGCCGGGGATGGCATGTATGTACATGCCATGCCCACTGTGAGTCGA